TCAGTTAATACAGCAATAGCTAATAATGAATAATTATTTAGATGCCGTCCGCCTTCGTTCATATACAAAATTTTGGACAACTGATTCTGTTCATATATAAAAACTGCCGTATCTTGTACAATGAACAGACTTGTATAGTTCAAGAACAAAATAATTAGAACAAAATATACATTATGTTTCGATTGTCTTCTAATTTTTGTTCTTTAAATGATGAGTCAAGGAACAGTCTGCAAGATAGGCTGTTTTATCTTATATAAATGAATGTCATTCGAGATGGATAGTCATTTGTTCTAAAGTAATTTTATAAAGTGTGCTACACATAAAAAACTACCTTTTTTAACACGTGATCAATTATTAATAGTAAATGACTAGTCCTGGACTTATCCAAAAAGATGTACGAGACGAGCTCAGTTATGATGATGCATACAATTTGTTAACTAATGCTGATGTAAATAATGCTGTGAATACATTACCAATATGTCCGGATAGTGGAACGGTATGGCTGTTTACAGATGGCGGTGATTCAAATCGAGCTAAAGATTATGTCTATGATGGATATAGAATGCATTTGGATAAAAGGCGTGTATATCCCAAAAATAAACCATTTATTCAACATGAACGATTCAACATGATTTTCTTATACATATGATAATCGAGCATGTTAAAAAAGGCGTCTAAACTTTTGTATATGAGCGGAGGCGGAAGGCGGAAATTTACCACTTTCTCGGCGGAATATCCCTGTGGCGGAAAAATACCAAACGGCGGAGGCGGAAGGGCGGAGCGGAAGGCGGAGGCGGAATTTTACCTAGGACCCAATTTTTATATTTTAGAAAACAAAAGAGTTCTACGAACACGACAAACACAGTCACTAGTCATCAAAATACATGACAGTTATGGTCACTTATTTTAAAAGAATTGCGAAGCAGTTTAGTCATAACAGAAATCGACAGAGCCGATTCATAAGCTCCTTTCGAGTAGATAAAAACAATACAAGAATTTTTGATACTTCCTATGAATTTCTTATGAAAATCTTATCCGAATCTTATAAGACACTTTTGACCATTGATGGGAAATCATAAATAATCTTATATAGAATAAAAACTGATAAAATTCTATTCTTACAATAATCTCATAAGTTTTACCAAAAATGTTTTGTCTAGGACATTCACTCACATTAATTCTCTATCTCTCAAATGATAACATACGGTCACCTCTTATTAAAAGTCGAGTGTCAAATACAAACATTCATGCTGTATAGCTTTATTTTCTAAGAAAATATTTTTATATGTATTTTCCTTCCTTACCTCTTCCAATAGTGCTGCCTTTTTTTGTTGACTAATGCCAGTCTCTGCAATAATATTGCTAACGCGAAAAATTGGACAATATCGATCATGTTTTGAATTATATATACAAGTAAAATTTGTGTCTGGATACATGTTTCTCCTTTAGAAGAATCAAGATCTTTTATACTAAGATTGATTAATAAATATTAATTTCTTACATAACAACATTGAATGCGTTGAATGCTACAGTGGATTTGATATATGCTGTTACCAGACGTTCATTATGTACTATCAGATCGAATGGAAGGACTCATAAACAAGTCAATAAAGAGACGTAAAAGCTCTCACTTTATAACGTACTCAGTGAATAGCTCCTAATCGTTCCAAATCATTTTCAACAATACGCGTGTCACTAATGAGAGGAAGATGGAAGTAGATATAATTAACAGCTAAGATTTTACATACATTTCCTGAGTATCATTTGAATTATCACCATCAACTGGACCAAATATTTGTCGGGTGACAATAAAAAATGCATTATGTTCCTATATAAATGTTAAACTTTAAACTGTACGTAGATAGTTCTACAACAACTTACCAATGGTGGAAATGAATGTAGCGCGGAATCCCAAAGATTATTATTTACACCTAAAATTCATAAATTTACTTTAATTGAAGTAGAACATGATCTTTACTATGATGATACCAACCTTCTTTACCTGTACTATTATATTTTATTTTGATGATAGATATCCCTTCTGGTCGTTGAATTGTTTGATAGCCTTTGTTCCAATATATAATATAACTTAAAGTATTCAGAAAAACATACGTATTTAACTATACAAATAAAAATAGTTCACTTACAGTATGGTATAGCTAAGAACGGCTAATTGAATGACACGATGAATAAGTGCTACTTTGGTATTTGGCACTGAGACTAATTTTACCGTTGTATAAGTTAAAAAAGTAGAAGATAAACATGAAAAAATTTGTTTCATATTTTGATGTGATCAGTTTATTTACTATAATGTTTTTAAAATCAAACACGCTAAGAGAGATAACAGTAATGTAAAAAAGTACAAGATCATATAAGAAAAAGGAGTGAAAAGCGTTGCAGATACCTTGCTTGAAGAGAAAGAAACTTCAAAAGTAAATATTGATATCTTTGAATAAAGTTTTTAAGACTGTATGCTTAATGATGATTATAAAATATTCGTTGATTATATATTTTTGTTGAAGATAAACATTTAAAATTTTCCGTTTTTACGGATTATGAAATTACTCATATTTTCACGTGAGCAGATCTGGCTGTACAGCATAGGTAATGATGCAATACTCACTTGACTTTCAAGTGTACGAAATACGCATATTTTTCTCTGTCAAATACGAATCTAAAAAATTCGTGGTCGAGGTCCGTGCGAGATCGTTCAGCCCCTGAAGGGTTCTCGTTTAACCTTCACCTCGGATATACGAGATCATGGACAATTCGCATCCGCGGCGAACTGAGTTATCTCTACTATTTTGTGCGGTATGTGACATGTCTTCAGACTGGCTACAGACTTACAATGTTTATCTTTTTCTCGCATAAGTTCAAGTCAGAATCGATTGCGAATTCTCTGTTATTTTCTGACTAGTTTAGGTCACCATCTAGAATAGGTAAGGATCGATTGCGAATTCTCCGGTATTTTCTGACGAGTTTAGGTCACCATCTAGGTTAGGTAAGGATCGATTGCGAATTCTCTGTTATCTTCTGACTAGTTTAGGTCACCATCTAGGTTAGGTAAGGATCGATTGCGAATTCTCTGTTATCTTCTGACTAGTTTAGGTCACCATCTAGGTTAGGTAAGGATCGATTGCGAATTCTCTGTTATTTTCTGACTAGTTTAGGTCACCATCTAGGTTAGGTAAGGATCGATTGCGAGATGCAGATGCCGATGGTTATTGTCGTTCCCTTAAGTCTTTACCAATTAAG